AATGTATTGTTAGACCGCAGTACATTGGGTGTCAACACCACATACTTTACTTGGTTCTTCGATATTTACTAGACTTCTGTGTTCCAACAGTCTCAAAGAAACCAGATATAACCTATGAGTTTGTTGATAACATTTGCAGTCAGTATGAGAACCTTCAGACGAAATATACAGGTGAAATCGAAGTATCTGCTTCTGAAAATGCTGGATGGAGGAGTGATTTCAAGTTTCTATTCAAACTTTGCGAGGCTTACAAAGTGTACAAGAAATGCGTTGAACTTCCAAAAATCAAGTGGCGAAAACTTTCTTCACTTCATAATGCAAGATAGAACTCTAGAGCAACATATGATCTACTAGCTTATTTTCTTCTGGAAGAACATCGTCAGCAGCTCAGCAGTCTCTGCAACATTATATTAACTGTATGGGCATCAGCGTGGTTCTCTAATCAGCATTTCACTGAACACAGCTTTGAAGAATTGCATTCTGCTGTTTCAGAATTTGATTGCTAGAAGACAACAAAGTGTTTCAAAACGCATCGGGTAAATCAGCCTTCAGTCATTGACATTCCACGATCAAACATTGTGGCTGAAAGAGCAGTCAAAATAATGGAAGACATTTACGCTACCTGCAAAAGTGACAAGTACCTTAATGCTAAATTCTTAAACTCAAATTTACAATTGTGAACACTCAACAGTGACATGTAAGCATATATTCATATGGATGTTAAAAATTTCTGTTTTACAATATATAACTTGTGTGAATTAAGCATTGTAGTTATTTCTTTAAGGGTGCGCCAGGTTTTTTAAAATTTAAACAAAAATTAAGTCATATTTACTATATTTAGATAAAAGTTCATCATTTGCCACCCCAGGAATCTTGATTGAAAAAAAGTCATATACCTAATGCACATGGGATTGCGCCTATCTCTTGTCATTTGGAATAAGCGCATTTTATTTATAATAATATAATTTTTTGCGCTTTCATTAATTATATTTTTGGTATAGTAATATAACTTTTAATATCATTTCATAGCAATATTTTAAATGTTACTTTAGTATTGTATTTTCGACATTATTTAGTTGTTTTTGGTGTTTAGTTTTTTCAATTTTTGTCAAAGTTAAATTCTTAAATATAAGTAAAATGACTTAAAGATAGGCGGATTGGTTGTTTATAAATAAAAGAAATCAAAACCTTAGAAAAATACAAAGAGTAAAAGTTTAGCAATATTTAATTTTGTAGTGAGTATTTATTTTATCATTATTAGAGTATAGTGGACAAACTTGAACCAACACAATTTCTAATATAATGAATGCGATAAAAATTATCTAACGATTAACACCATCAAATGTGATAATTTTTTTTTTTGACTATTTGTATATATTGAATATATTGAAGGATACTCAATTAAGTAGTTTTTTAAAATTTATATCTAAATAAAAAAGAAAAGTTTAAATTACAAACAGCTTCTAAGAAATCATTTTAAAAGTCAAAGCTTTTAAAAATTATCATGAAATGAATATCAAATATTCAGATCTTTTTGATTCATTCTGTCACTCAGTTTATCATTTCCTAAGCTTAGGTAATGATAAATTGAGTTTAATCATAGCCAATCATTTTTCAATAAGTTAAATCTTATAAGATTTAACTTATTGAAAAATGGTTGGCTAAGTTACGTCTCATCAAATAAAAAATGCCGTTTCGTTTTTTCATTTTAGTTGCCAGTATTAATACTGCCATTCCAATATATTGGAATGCGCCAAATTGCTCTGAAAACAACACGTGAAAGTAATACTTTAAATAAAAAGAGTGAAAATAATATTTTTTTAGAGTGCCCATTTAGTACAAGTGACCATATAATTTTTATATTAAAAAGATTATTTACTTTTATACTACCTATTTGATTTACCTGTTTGACAAGAATATTGAATTTTTTTTTATGATCTCAATCATGGACGTATTCAAGATTTTTTGATGTTTCAGATATGACACTTTCCGACATATATCTAAGTACATATATATTTATGTCAAATTTTTTAAATTTATTTTTTATTTAATATTCTTTTAACGTTCAAAAATTATGACCATGTAAAATTTCCGCCGTCCCCAGAATAAGGAGGTTGTAAATTAGGGTTATGACTTTTTAACTTTTTTTGTCAAAAATAAATTTCTTATAGCACCAACGGATAAAAGTAACTCCGAATCATCCAAAAACAGAAAAGACACTTGATGATGAGAATGCATTGCAAGACGCCTTGTTAAAATCTCAAAGCTGTCTTCTCACGGAGCAGCAAAAGTGTGCCACCATCTGGGCATTAAAATCCTAACCCCATGCCAGTCAGCAATATACAAAGCTATATAAATAAGAGCTGCTCAAATGGTGAGTAAGCTTTTACTGGAAAAATGGAGCATATACTTTGACGGCAAACACATTGATGGCTTCGAATATCAGGCAGTGGTCCTCAAGAATGAAGCAAAAGAAATTAAATTGACTCCGCTCAAATTGAAAGATGGAAAAGCTCAAATAATTAAAAATTTACAATGTGTTAGAGGAATTCAACCAGTAGGAATCAATTGTGATGATTGTTGGTGATAAAACACTGAATATTGAAAAGAAGTCTGAATATTGACAAGAAGACAGGCGTTGTTGTTCGGCTGCACCAAATGTACGAACCAAAGGGAAAAATTATAAATACCAAAGGGAAAAATTATAAACCCAAGTTCATCATTTGATGAGCAATTACGATAAATTAAAATCAGCCTTTAGCAACGGTAAAAATAAGATTAAGGAAACAGGCGGCTAGCGAGACAACATGAAGTTTCTTTACCATCTCACTCATGTCTTCCATCATCACACTGAGATGAATGAGATACTTTTCTTAAAGTTTTAACAAATCCGAAACATCAGCAATAAACGCTGTAATTCTCGAGCCAATCTAGCCTATCTTACGTTTATTCTGATGTCTAAAATCCGTAACAGGTTGCGTAAAATCTGTTCATTCATTTCCTACTCATGGGCCGACCATTGCTTTAGCAATCAAATGCACCGCGCTAAAGATTTCTATGGACTATCTGCAGTACGGAATGACTACCCAAAAGGTCTCAGACGCTTGCAAAACTACTGCAAAACATAGAAATCTTCAATCAACATTGTCCAAATCAACCAGAACTGTGAGCATGCGATCGAAGTTTTTTAAGATCTGTATGACTCCTGCCACAAGGACAACCTCCTACTAAGACTCATTTTGTCCAATGACTTTATTGTAAATAATTGGCTTCCTTATGTGCTTGATGACCCAATAAAATGTTGCTTATAAATGGATATGAAGCTTGTGTTCAGTTTTGTAACTGCTTAAAGGATCTTCAAAAATAAGGTAAAAAAGCTAGTAAATAAAAAATTTTGATACCGTTTTGGGGTGACATTTTTTTTATCAAATTACCTTGAAATTAAGATCTTATTTAATCTTTAATGAGTCATCACCCTATTGTAAACTTTAGTTCAGCCGTGGCACAGTGGTTAGAGTTCTGACTCAAAACCAAGAGGTCCAAAGTTCGACACCGGCTCTAGCCTAATAAGCGACATTGGTTAGGAAGGAGGCGTAAACTTTCTTGTTAAATGCACTTCCTCGGTGTTCTCAGAAGTCCGTAATGACTTCTGGGAGCATTTTAACAACCACAACAAAAAAAAAAAAAAAAAAAAACATCATAACTTTGGAACATTAAACAATCATTAAATGAAATTTAAAATCTGTCAATGAGTTTGAACTTAGTATGATATGAATTCTTATAAAACTAATTACCCTCACATTTCGGGTACGGAGTGGGGGCTAAACATTTTGGAGTATTTTTGTTTACAGGCTCCACTTACTACGATTTTTTGCAAAACATTCTTATTTGGCATAGTTATGTATATATAGTCTTACGTTTGGAGTTTGCAAAATTCCTGAAAGTGTCAAAAAAAATATGAAACATAAAAAAATCCTGGATTCGCTTTTGATTTCAACAATACTGATGTTATCAGATTAATATCTTATTAAATGTAAATCGGGAATTCGAATTTACTTTTGGTTTGCACAAATCTTCAAGAATCAAAAAAATAAAATTATAGACGATTTATTTACAGGAGTCGTGTACATTTATTTTCAAAAATAAATGTACATTTGTTTTCAAAAATAAAAGTGTACCCCGTACCTCATTCAAAACATTTAATTAGTTTTTCAATATATGACAATGAGGTAACCTGCTTATTTTTATCTCGGATTTCTTTCCAATAAATGCTAATGGGTTTGGTCAATTTACTTTCTAAACCAGTAAAACAAAAGTTTTAACTATAAATTAGATCATAAATTAACCTTGTCTACAAATTTAAAAAACCTCGAGTTGACTACAGACACCTGATTAAAGAATAAAAATTGCGTTGCAAATATTGTCTATAAAGCAAATGCTCGAGCACATTTTTATATGTATTTAAAAAGTTTTAATCTATGTCTTTTAGTAAGAGCCTATACTAACGGAACTTGCATATCATTGTTTTATCTTAATTCATTTTTCAAAATTATTTCTTATGACTTCTTGCTTAAAACATTTTTGTGTTTTCAAATTTTAAAATATGCGCTTTTTAAATTTGCTGCTTTTTGTACTTTTTATTTAAGCGTTAACTATATTTTTTTCAATTAAACTCTCATCTCTATGTTTTTTTAAACCACTATATTCTTCAATAACTTTTTTATTTACTACCAATTTGATTGCAGTCAAAATTAAAATTTTTTTTCTTCTTTGATGTTTATTATGAATTTAAATTTTTTTATAAAAATATCGATGAAAATCATAATAAAAAAAAGATGCGATAACAATAAACGTTGTGGCTTTTCGGTTTTAAATTACCTTTTGATAAAAAGAATACTTAAGTAATGAAAATAAATCCATATAATACAACATAAATATCTATCGTACAACATACAGATTAGATTTTTAAAAACTAACAAAAAAAAGTATAGTATATATACCTTTTTTGACATTTCTCTTCTTGCTTCAACAAAATTTCAAAAGTAACTTTATTTTAAGAGGTTTCGTATGAATTTATAAACAACGAAATTTATTATAAAATGTTTTCTTTAGCGGGACGATTTAAACGTTTGTTGATTAAAAAATCACGATGATATCATAAAATATTTATAATAAGAACGTGACAATTTCATTATCTGTTTTACTTTATCGACGTTGAAATCTTTGAGTAAAGAGTTAGCTCTCGTTTATTTGCGGATTTTTATGTTGACATTAGTTTTTTTCTTACAAGAAATTTTTGCGTAATCTGCATTTATAAGATTATTAACGTCACTAAGTTTTCTTAATCTTTATATGTTCACTATTTTTTTTTCTCAATAACTTTTTATTTTCTATAAATAAGGTAGTTTTTAAGGTAGGTTCAGATTTTTCTGTTAAAAACTTTACGAAATTGACACTGCATTACTCTATTAAAAGTTATAAGTTTTTATGAATATAATGAATACCTAGTTATAAAAATATTTGCAAGCTGGTTAAAAACTATTAACTATCTAGAGAGAGATTTTTTTAAACAATGCAGTTTGTGGTGGTAGCAACGCCACAACTTTACAACCCCATTTTTCTTAAACAAAGTTAATTGTCATAATAGAAAGTTATCGCTATTAGAATATCTTTATAAGGCTATTGTAAAATTTCTACCAAGTTAATCGCAATTTATTATTTTAGATTTTCCTGGCCGTCGCCCTTAACTTGGATTAAAATATCCTTGCTTGGAATTACTTTACATTAACAGTGTGACGCTCATCCCACTTTCAAAATAAATGAAAACCAGACAAACAAATAGTCCAGCCAACATCGTTTTTCTCATTTTTGCTAATCAGATTTATAAAGGCCTACTTGCAATGGACCAACATAAATAACATGTTTGCCCTACATCAGCAAAACTATATTTTTCCAGACTTCAGTTAAATAAAGTTAGCCTAGAATTCCTGGTCGATTCCAGACATTTCTTAGCATTTCTTTTTCTTTTTTTTTTAAAGGATTATAGAAGTATTTTTAAGGATTAAAAACTGGATGTATTAAATAAATACAAACGTTGATAACAAAATATAACATAATTTCATATTAAATTTTAAACCTAAAATAGTATAACAACTATGCTAGATTTTTAATAGGGTAATTGAAAAATAATGAAAAAGTGAACATAAAATAGCGGTAGCCCCGGACACTTAAGCAAAAAATAGATTGTACACATGTACTTGTAACAGAAAATAAAGTTTTAAAAGATATTTTTTAAAATATAAACATTTATCTTTCGACAAAAAAATAATTATTATGAACCTAAATAATATACAAAACATAAAAGAAAAAATCTTAGAAAAAAGGGATTCTCAAAATTGGAGGGTAGCCCCGGACATATAGTTTTTTTTTTTTTTTTTTTTTTTTTTTGGTTTACATTTTTTAATTGTTGTACAGATTTAAATAACCAATAAAAAAAAAATAATATAAACTTACAATGATAAAAAATATAACAAATATAAACAACGTATCTAAAAGAGGATCGCAAAGATCTTGTCATCAGAACCTTAAATAAGCATTTAACAAAGATGAGGTTAAAAAATAATAATAATAAACTTTTACAAAGTTGGAAGGTAAATAATCTGTGTCTGAAGAAAGATCAAGAGAATCTTCTCATCAGAATTTTATATTAGAGTAAACCAACATATAAATTAAAAAGTAAAAAGTATAAGAGCAATAAATAAAATAAGTAGAAATAACCTTCTATAAATGTAAACATGTATATAAACAATAAAAAAAGGTAGATCAAAATATATTTTTAACTTTTACTACTAATATTAACTCAATATATTACTTAATGAAAGAATGAGATTTTTCAGTTTTTTTAAAAAAAGGCAAAAAGTAATAGCTACTTCAAAATCAAAATTCGGCAAAACAATTTTATTCCATAGGTGTGGCGCTCGATAGGTAATACAAAATTGATTAAAGTTTGTTTGACAAAAAGGTTCATTTAAAAAGTTATTATTTCTCAAAATATATTTACTAGTTGGTTTAAAAGAGAAAAGATCTTTGAAGACAGCTTAGAATAAGTTATTTATTCACATATATACAAAACATAAAATATTAAATACATTTAACTCGTATATATTCAGAACTCTTATTTCAATAAAATAATGCTTCGAATGAGAGAAGTGATTTGCAAAATTGATTATACGGATTGCGCGTTTCTGGCGGAGATAAAGGCGTTGTAACTTACTTTTTCTATACTTTCTAAGGACAATATTGACATAACTTTAATAAGAGTTTAAATAGCAATGTATAAATGAGTAATAAAGTTGAATAAAAACTTTCTTATTGAGATAGATTCGTGATTTATATGGGATCCCCATGTTTTTAGAAATTTTTGTGCTTATATAATCAATATGGTGATTCCAAGTAATGTTTTCATCAAGATAAACACTTAAAAATTTTGTAACAAAATCTCTTTTTTTTTCCTTTTGATCGATAAAGATTTGAGGTAATTTTGATAGGAGAAATCGCTTTTTTGTACAAAAAAGCGTACAAAATTTGTACAAAATTTCATTCGATTACAATTGTAATCGAATGAAAAAAAACCATTTTGTTTTATTAGTATTCAAGGTTAACTTATTACACTTGAACCAATTAGATATATGTCTAAGTTCTTCGTTTACTGTTTTAAAAAGTTCAGCGATATCATAGTTAGAAAGAAATAAGTTTATATCATCTGCATACATAAAGCTCGTTAGTTTTGAAGCTTTATTTAAGTCATTTATATAAATTAAAAAAAGAAGAGATCCAAGAATTTAACCTTGTGGGACTCCACAGGTTATACTAAGAAAAGTGGGTTGATAATCATTGTTAAATGGTACAAATTGTTTTCGGTTAGATAGATAATTTTTAAACCATTTTAAAATTTTATTTTTTATTCTTTAGTATTTGAGTTTATAAAATCAAAATATGGTGATCCACCGTATCAAAAGCTTTTGATAGATCAATAAAAATTCCTAGTGTATATTGTGATTTTTCGAATGATTTTGAGATTTCACGTACAAATTGCATAATTGTATGTTCTTCAGTTGAGTTTTCTTGAAACCAAATTAATTGATGTAAAGTAGATTATTATCACGATAATATTTGTACATTCTGTTTAATATAATTTTTTCTAGAATTTTTGAAAATGTGGAGAGAACAGAAGTAGGACGATAATTACTGATTTCAGATTTGTCTCCTTCTTTAAAAATTAGAATAATTTTTGCAATTTCAATTGTTCCGAGAATACTCCTTGATGGATAGAAGCCCTAAAGATTTTAAAAAGAACAACTTTAAGTTGTTTAAAGCAATCTATAACTACATATCCATTAATTTGATCTGCTCCAATTGCTTTATTTTTTTAAACAGATTTGATGGCTCTTTCAAACTCATCAAACGTTAGTTCGGATGATAACTCATCTGAACAAATGCAATTATCCAGTGGTTCTAGATAATCAGTAAACAAGACTTGGTCTTAGAGACTTGGTCTTAGAGATTTGTTTAGACAGTGTTGGTCCTATATGAGTGATAAATTTGTTAAATTCTTAAGATATAGTTTCTGGTTCATATAAACTTTTGTTATTGGCTCTAACCTTTGTGGCAGGAAACTAGAGCATGATTTTTTTTTTGCCAATAATTTCTTTCATTATTTGCCACGTGCGCTTTGTGTCAGTTTGTGTGCGCTTTGTGTGCGCAGTTTGTGTGCAGTTTGTGTGCGCTTTGTGTGCGCAGTTTATGTGCAGTTTATGTGCGCTTTGTGTGCGCTTTGTGTCAGTTTAACCATGACTTTACCTCTTTTTTTACCCGTGTGACACCAATATAATATAAAAATAGTTTGCATTAGACTGTTCTCAACACGTTAAAAAAAAATCGCCTTTAAAAATTTATTCTGATAAATAAGGTAATGAAAATGTCATCATTTAGAAATACAAACATTAGCTTTTTACTACTACTAGCTTTTAAAAATACTTTTTTCAAATTTTAGGTCTCTTCTTAAAATTAATTGAATCACTATTATGAATTTGTGTATTATATTATTTTATATAAAAATAATATATTATTTATATAAAATAATGTGTAATATTATTTATATAAAAAGGTTGCTCATTTTAAATATGTAAATGGATTAAGTTGTCTAGAACCACCCTCCAAACATGCGTCCAATAACACCCAATCATACCTCATTCACAAACACCCAATCGTACCTCATTCACAAACACCCAATCATACCTCATTCACAAACACCCGATTGTACCTCATTCACAAACATCTGATCATACCTCATTCACAAACACCCGATCGTACCTCATTCACAAACACCCGATCGTACCTCATTCACAAACACCCGATCGTACCTCATTCACAAAGTTTTAAAACCAGTGAATTAAAGTATTAAACAAATTTTTTTTTTAATTTTGTAAATAAAAAATAAAAATCTTTAAACAATAAAAAATTATTAGTTTACATAATAATTAAGTATACTATTATGTGAATCAAATATAATGATACATCGCTATTCTGGCGGTGGCATACAACATCTTGCACTCCCAGCCAATCGTTTCAATATATAATGATAGATATTTTGCATATGCCATATTTTCACTCAGATAATGTTTTTATAGTATTTAAAATTATATAGCTTCTTTATTTTAAACTGTACATCAAGTGTCTGGAGGTACCAACCGTCAAAGGCTACCCAACTTTTCCCTACAAGTTTTTCAAATGAAATATAATCTAAACTTTAAAAACAAGATTATTAAATCTCTGTCTATACTCTGAGTTTAAGCTTAAATAAAAACAACTATATTTAGAATTCATTTTTTTTACTGGATTTTTAGTGAACGAAAGACTTTAATAGATTTTTTTGAAACAACACTAATTAAAAATAATTTGAACATACTATACTATTCTTTAAGATTTTTCTGTTCTTTGTCTAGGCTCAAAAAAATCATTCAAAGAGCTTAAAAAAAAAGTCCAAATGTGTTACCATTAAACTGGTCATCTACTCTGATTTATAATGATCATTATTCTGGTCTATTCATTATCATGATCTATTCATTATCATGATCAATACTCTGGTCATCTACACCTGCTGAATATGCAAAGAGGAGGGGGGCGTTTGCTAAGTTTTATGTTTTCTCTCTTTCACAAAAAAAGTTTTTTTTTGTGAATAAAGTACA